ACTGAATAGCTTGATCGAAAACTGATTAATATACCTCAGCTGCGCATATGGTTAATGTGAATGTGAATACGCAAAATCCTGAGTTACCCACTTAGTTTATCTTGAGGGATCGAATTATACACTTTGCAAGAAAATTAGCGCAAGTTTTTACAAAATTTGCCAATAGTAAATACATATCTGTGGTTCTAACTTCGACATTCGCTTGTCAATTTGGCCGCTCCATTTTATTTTTACTGCGACAGTATTTGTAGTGGCACATTAATTTGTTTTAACGTCTGGCTAAGCATTCGAACTGTCCAATTTGTCCTCTCAATGGCTTGTTTGTCTAATAGTGAATCGCTTGGTTTTGCTTACCTTTATCCAATAAGGCACACCGAAAACGTGCTTCAAAGTCGCCCTGGGATGCGACAAGAAATTCCTATTCGCTTTGGATACAACAGCAATAATACTTGCAAATCTCAAGGATGAGCGTACTCTAATGAACGCATGACATTTTCCTCTGAATGGAATCACTGAGTTGTTAATAAAATTTGATAACAAAAATTACAAAATAGTTACAAAATAGCAATCACGAGAATGCTGCATGAAAGTGTACTCTGCGGATTAAGCACAGCAGTCCGCAGTTGTGAATAATAATGCGTAACTCCACAACAAATTGTTGCCACGACATCTATGATCCCGTGGTGAATTTTCAGCATCACAAGTTTCGATTAATTACCGAAGTCGTAAAGCGTTGCACCATGCACTTACTTAACCACTTCCCTAAACCGCATCAATCACATTCTTGTACCAATTTAGTTACAGATTACCCATCGACCGTGCAACAACATCTGCGTATTACTACAGAAAGTCTTACATTCTATGTCCATTAACTGTATTACAGAATACACGTACTGCAGACCAAGCTAAAAAGTAAAAATGTTACAGTTTGCATACAATTTGCCTTAGATAATTTGCGCGTGACTCTGTTAGCACCAGATAAACGACAAAACTGGTATAATACGCAAACGCAAAAGCTCGGTCAGCGTTAAAAATAGCAGAAGTATTGGAACCGGCGTGGCAGTACTTTTGCTATTTTTTGCGCTAGGCGAGCCTGACTCAGGAAGCTGCAGCCATATTCTGCAAACGCATCCAGAACCCGCAGGGTCATGTTGGTAAGGTGCCAAATTCCGCAAATCCACATCATTCCAATTCTGCGTGGGTCCATCAGACCATAATCCGGTTATATCAACACAAGGTCACCAATTACAACCTGAATCAAACAGCACGCGATGTGGATCAGTGCTTTCCAAGTAATGCCTTTCACAACCGTCGAGCAGGCTCGTTCTTGACACAGTACGGGTTGTCCTGCTATATCGCTGTGCTTCTCCAAGAAAATAAACGTCACTGCATCGTCGTCGGCGTATACCTACATTTTTGGACTTGGTTCCACAGCCGGGAACATAGCAGCGCCGTCACTTGTATAACGAGAGCTCCTATACTCGATACATGGTCCAAGGCGGTGTAGATTCGAAAACGTACGGGCTCTCGTCGGCCTATCGAAATGCAACTTCAACAGAAACAGTGCACGGTTGAGAGGAACTGCGTAGTACGAAAGGATGTTGGAGCCAAATGTGATGCGAATGGACCCAGCACGCGGCGACGAACCGACACAACAAGTCGATAAAGAACTCAATTGTTCTCGTGTTTCACCAGTGAATAATTCATTCGACCCCATTCTCGGCTTACTGTACCGTTTTGCGGTTTCCACTCGTCCATTTTCCAACAACACAGAGCGCAAGTGTGTGTTCAGGCCGCTTTAATCAGAAAATAGTGCAAAAACTATGTATTACCACTGAAATCGTCGAGGAACTGCATACGCTGCGCCTGCTCAAACATTTATGCATTTATATGGGCTAACAAAGCATGCTACCCCTGACAGGCATGCTAGCGATATAAACACTAGTACCTCCGCTTATTATGGTATTCCGCATTCGCTTTGCCAGAGCAAAAATCGATTATAAGGAAGTACGACATGAACGTGCCTGTGTGTGACTCGTAGGTGAACGTGCCTGTGTGGCAGCTTCTGACTGCCACTCTCACGCATAGGCAGGCCATGTTTGTGTGCCGTGTGATACGGTACAAATATTAGGCCGGATACGCACTGATTTCTATCTACCGGTAACTGCCTTCTGTTGAGACACCATCCAAAACGACCGATTTCTTAGCAGTAAGCAAGAATGCGGCGCGCTCTAGATAGATTCCTAGTAGACTTGGGCACTCATTTATAACGATTAATTTTAACGAAACGCGCGCTATCTCCGCGTAATTGCGCTATAACGTAACCTTGAACCGTAGCGCGTTGCCTGAAAAGCGTAACTGAGCGAAGCGTAGCGTAACTGCAGCGTAACGCTACTCAAAATGAGAAATCCATGTATTTCAAATTTGTAAGGTAGCGCGCAGAATAATGCGAAAATCGCGTTTACTTGCAGATATAGCGTAACTCGTAGCGTAACGCGCCATGCTCCCTGTAAAGCGAAACGCTAACGGTGGTTGATTTGCCATAAGTGCCCAGGTCTGATTCCTATCTAACTTGTAAAGCAGACTTGCGTTCACGCAGACACCTTTGAAAAGGTGCCAATAAACTTGTCAGTGTTTAGGACGCGTTTGCAATAGGTGGCCGTGTATAATAATTATTATTTAAAATTTGCAAGCGTACGAGTATAGTATTCAAAAATTATACTGAACTGTTGAATCTGCGTAATTTCCGGCACCCTTTCCCATTACCGCCTGCTGCTAAAGTTCCTATCAGTGCTTTACACCATGATGGAAAGGGGACTGGACACTGCAATAACTTTCTGTACACAGTTATACGATACTCGACGCAGTATCAGTACATTCATCCCTAACGTTCAGTGAACAGGAAGAAAAACTGCCAGAATCACTCTGAATTAAGAAGTTTTTCAATGTAACGGTGACGTACTAGCTAGCGAAGCCACTGTGAAGTGCCGATTTCAAGGACAATATTTTCTACATTTTTTTAAACGAAAATTTATTTAAACTGAGCGACCTTTGTAACGCAGCAACCCCTTTCCCAAATACCGATCGTCGCCTACAACCTGATAATGTTAGTTATTCAATCGATAATTATTTAAAATCACGACTGGCGACACGTTCACATTGGTAGCGAACAAAATACTACCAGTACTCTAGTAAGCGCGTGAATCTACAGTACATCCGCTTATTAACACCGCGTTAGCCAGAGTTGTGGTCCAGAAAAATAGGCTGGCCGCGATCATAAAAATAAAAAAATTGCGCGGTTCTAGAAACGCCAATAAGTAAGTAGGTAAATTTTATCAGGTTATTTTGTTGTTCAACGATGTGACGTTGGAGCTGGCATGCGGTGTTGACACGATGTTCTTGGCGCACGTCGGGCGTCGGAATGCGTCGAGCGTTTGCATTCCGTAGAAGACCCAAAAATACTGTGTCTATCTGTACACTTTTTACCGGAGCCGTATTGGACTTCTGTAAGTGTCTACGAATGAAATACGAAACAGTTAAGCGGAAATGCAGCGATCTACGCTTCTACTATTTAACTGTGAAGGTCGTGTAAAAAAATTAAAAGTCTGTTTAATCGGTCGACATTTTATAAAGTACGAAAAGATGCTGAAAAGGCCCGCAGCAGAACCGAGCGGACCTTTGTTTGTTGAATATTTTGGTGACCAGCGCTTTTCCCAGGTTGACTACGGTTGCGGACCATAGTATACTGCATAAGCACTGCGAGCAGAAGAGCTCCAGAATAAATCGCTAAAACTGTTCTCCTCAACGCCCTGTGAAACATTTTTTAAAAAAAGGCTTCCACAGGCGTATGCATCCGATGATGATAGAAGCGACACTGACGATTCGACTGCTCAGGTGTCCGCCTCTCCTAACTTGGCCGTATCGTTTGAAAAAGCAAGATACCACGAGATAGAGCAGCCAAGGCAGTACAGCGTTCATCCATAAACTGGCGAACATTACGCTGCGGTTAATTACAAGGACGGTTACAAAAAAATGCGGGATCTTATGCTGGCAAAGCGATGTGAAACAGCTTTTCGGCACGTCCCATGGAACAGCTAAATATTATAAAAGGCAGCAATAACTGGAAGTATTTTTAAGCGTAAAGTAAAAAGGCAAGTAAGCACCGCTGTGTCCCGTACAGAGTTCAAGAGGAAAGTGCTTTTCGCGCGAAGCCGACGCAAATTTTCACTGCGGAAATGGCCAGAAATTCTATAAAAATAATAAATTATTACGAATTTCGGTTGCGAAGAATGGTTTATTTCGTATTAAATGAGAGAACGTAACTACTCAACAACATAATGTACGTACAGTATACCGTGGAAACTGAACACGAAGCTGACCGGGGATAGTTAGAAACTCTTTAAAAAATAATAGATTTTTATGAAGTTTTTTTATGAAGTTTTTTTAGATTTTTATGAAGTTTTTTTTCTTGGAGCATGGTTTACTAACAGTGCAGTAGCATGTGAGCGCATATACTGCGTATATTTCACGCATGAATGTTAAATTCTTTTATTGAATTGCAGTGCAGAGCTACTTTTGCGCGGAACGCGAAGCTAACAGTCGGTTCCACTGGGAAAAGCGTTAGAAATTCAATCAGAAAATATTTCCTCAATTTTTTACATTGTTGATTAACATTTGTAAGGAATACTTTACTTACACTACCTTAATTTTTGAGGTGCCCACTTTTCAACAATTCGTTTGCTTATATGGCTGTCCCATATTCCCATTTGATTTTTAATGCAACAGTACCGGAGCAGTGCAACAGTAATTTGTTTCAACGTCCGATTAGGCAATCGAACTTTCCAGTTTGCCTTTTCAATGAAAGATTTCTTTGATAACAAATCTCTTGATTTTGCTTACCTTTATCCCGTAAGGTACACCATCAGAGTAGCACTGTGCAATTCAAGCCTGCTTTTTCCGAAGAACTGAATACAACAAAAATGAAATTGATTGTTGATCTCAAGTATGAGCGCACTCTAACGAACGCATGACACTTTCCATTGAACAGAAATACTGAGTCGTTAAAACACTAGAGTAGCGTGGCAAGTTCCTCTAGAGAAAAAAGCCTCTAGCTTATCATCATATAACAGTGTGCAACACAGCAAGTGTGTCAGCGAGTTCCTTTTAACAGTTGTATACTAATGCTCATTCGTACATTCTGCACGCCGGCGCGAGCGTTGTGTTTCACAGTCGGAAAACGGCATCCAGTACGCGCAGGGTCATGTTGGTTAGGCACGAGATATCCAAATCCCGTAAATCCACATCGTCCCAGTTTCGCGTAGATCCATCCGGCCAGAATCCGTTGTATCTACAGTAGACCGGGTAAATTAGCAACTGAATCAAACGCACTCGGTATCTTATTAGTTATTACATCTGCAGGAGAGTCCGAATCCCCTTCCAATCGTCGGGATACGTCAAGGTCGTCAGCATCCGCTTATGAACGGCCGCACATCGAGCAGAAACGATTTGCTCGACAGGAGGGAAACTCTTCTCGCTGGCTAACAATATAGTGCGAAGCATCTGAGACTTGGAATCACTGCAGCCAATAACTAGCCAGGATACCACGGCTTTCAGGGAGAGTTCGGCATTCATAAGCGGGTCGTGCCTCACGACGCCCATTTTAGAATAAACGGGGTCACATGATAATTGACTTGAGCGGTTAGGGCTCTCTAGCACGCCGCAAAGTGTACAGTTAACGACGATCAGATGTTGACAAAGTGGGCGAAACTCGTCCAGATAGCTGCTGCTGGTCCAGTGAATCATGAACTGCGAACGAATACGGTGGGCTTGCCAAATGTCTATCGAAAGTTCACCGTCTTTGATGAGGATTGTGTCTAATTTGGTTGCCTTAAGGCTAAGTAAGTGCACAATGTGTGTTAAGAAGCGGTGGCTGTCCTTATCGCCGGACTGACAGATGTAGGTGATGGTTCGAGTTAGAATCGTAATGGATTCTTCCAAGAGCACGACTAATAAGTATTCCCATTTCCAGCACCCAGGAGCACGAAACGTGGTTGCTACCGCTTGGACCTGCAGTGTGCGTGCATCGATGAGAAGATGCCGGTTTGTTGAAGGCTTCTCAAGAACATCCTGCCACAAAGCGCAGACTCTAAAAACACAGAAAGAAGGGCTCATAAGAAAAGTTTTTCTTACTTAACTTTTCGAGTGCCCACTTTGTAAAAAATTCCGGGGACGGGGGTCACATGCCCGCCTTAAAATCGATTTAACCCCATTAGACTTAAGCGTTAAAGTTTCTATTAGTAACAGACTATGAGTAATTCGCTGATTGCCGATTTTGTAACTAGATTAGTAGGGTAGTGGACTATAAGCACCCCTTTCACCCCCGTCTGCTATAGGCACCCCCTTTTGGACCCTGTTTTACTACAGGCACCCTTTTTTATTAGATGGCGTCTGCCACCCATGCACGTTGGGTGCAAATGTGCTTCGGAAGTGCGGCGTTCAGGCTGTTGTATAAAACTGCCAGACACCATTATTACAGAGCCGTTTCTGCTGCAGCAACAGACATACATTGCAACAGGCAAATTTCCGGAGCCAGTAGTGCACTGACTTCTTGAAAATTCTCTAAGGTCACAAAATCCGACCTTAAAAAGAGCGTTGGGTGCGAATGTGACGTTCAGACTGTATATAAAACTGTCAGACATTATTATTACAGAGCCGTTTCTGCTGCAGCAACAGACATACACTGCAACAGGAAAAAATTCAGAGCCATTAGTGCACTGACTTTCTGAAAATTCTCTAAGGTCACAAAAATCCGACCTTAAAAAATAGCGTTGGGTGCGAATGTGACGTTCAGGCTGTTGTAAAACTGTCAGACATTATTATTACAGAGCCGTTTCTGCGGCAGCAACAGACATACATTGCAACAGGCAAAAATCCGGAGCCAGTAGTGCACTGACTTCTTGCAAATTCTCTAAGGTCACGAAAATCCGACCTTAAAAAATAGCAACAGACAATAGGGGGATGCCACGATAGTTCGCACACGACGACGGGGTGCCTACAGTCTAAGTGGGTGCGAAAGGGGTGCCTATAGACAACGTGGGTGAAAGGGGGTGTCTATAGCCATTTCCTTTAAGGTAATTACTATTTGTGATTACTGTTAGTATTTTGTATTAGCAAGGATGTATAGGTTGAGTTACTGCGTAATTTAGTCTGACCACATTAATTAATTACGCTAATTAACCAGTTAAGCTACATTGAGTAAACGAAATTACATCATTCCGTTAAGATTGGTAAATTAAATTATAATCACCATCAAGCATATGCGGACTAATATACGCGCCTGCGGCCCTGCAGCACAATTCATGCGCTTTTTCCGGTAGTCCACTGCTTATTACTGGTCCAAGGCATTCTGATGTGTTGGGGCGTGTCATCCATAAGGGATGTGTCATCCATCAGGGACACATACTGCTTTCACATTAATTTTATTTCAGTAGCAACTGTCAGATATCAGCAGCCCGCTTGTATCTGCGACACGACTGCTGCGCACGTATCTGTTACTCATCTTTCTTCTATGACTAAGAGAAAAAAACTGAAATATGTTCCCACCAGTGATAACAGATACACGATGTGACAGCTGGCGAACAAAGGCTCACGATCGTGAGAAAAGGCTTTATTGTGGATAGCAATAAAGTGAAGAACCAACATACAAAGGCTCGAGGTGCGAGCAGTATCGTGCAAAAACAGTGAATGATAATGCTAGTGAAATAGAATGAACGGCATATCGAGCCAAAGCATGGAAAAAGCCTATGCGGCATACTGGGCAGATCCAACACGAGCGAACGAACGCTGATAGGCCGAGATGTGGAAGTGGGGCGTGGCTCCGCCTACATCGAGGTCGATGATTGGCCGAGACGTAAGGCTGGGCGGAAAGCTGCCTGAGTCGAGGCCGATCTAGCGCTCGACAGCGAGTGCGACTCGGTGTGAGTCAGCACACCGGAAGCGGGACTGTCGCTGGCTGCCATACTCGTAGGCTGCCATAGCGACTGGCCCAACATGCCTCTGGGCGGGAGTCCGAGCCCCTGCGAAGGACCGGCCTCATACCGCTCCAGTGCCCGCTCCGCACACGACCCTATTGGGGTCGGTGGCTGCGCCTCGGAGGTATCCGATGATGGGGTGTCTCGAGCCGCGTTCTCCTCCGGACCCGTGGTGGCGATACAACTCACGGCCGAAATCCGAAGGTCGGTCGGTGGTATTGTTGGACCGGTGTAGGCATCTGTTGGTCGGGTCCGTAACGGCGAAAAGTAAAAAAATAAAGTATTATTCCGTCTGTCTCTCTCTCTAGTAAAAATAACATCACAATTCCTGGTGAGCAGGTTAAAAAAGATCAATAAAATGAGAACATCATTTTGAGATTAGAAAAAAAAATAAACTCAAAGTCTTTGGTCCGGGGCTTTGGGCCGGGTGCTTATTCCGACTAGAGCTCGTCCGCTTCACGGGGGCTCCAGTCCACTGGAAGTCCGGTCATCTAGGTCCGAGGCATCGGTTCTCGGGATACCCAATGGTACCGGTTCAATTCACCGAGGGTCGAAGGTTCGACCCTATTGACTTCGGGTAAAGAGTATGGATCTCCGGTGTCGGGTGTGAAACGGGCGTGAAACACACTTTCCGACCAGGATCCTTCGGTAAAAGCTTGATTGGAACCTTCATAGCCGGGTCAAACAAGTTCGTACTTGTAGCCGACCGAGGTTCATCGGGTAAGGTTGATGGAGAGGCACCGTCGCTTCCGCGAATACCGTAAGGTACCCTCTCTGGGTGCAGGATAAGACCTATTGGGTCTATTAATCGGTGGATCGTCCGAAATGTCCGGTGATCCGAGGTTCCATCCAGGCAAAAACCGTAATGTCATGTCCTGTCACCTATTGGGTAACAAGGACCGGTTGATGCCTGGTCTCCATGGGGTTGAATGGTTGATGGACGTGGTTTACACCGCACCGTGCAGTGTAAGCCACGTTCTGGTCCGAGCGATGTTATGGCCTCTGTGCGGGAGTCCGACCCTGTATACGGTTAGCTTCAAAGTTTTGAAGTCCGATGGTAGCCTCGGTAACCAAGGATCAGCTCCGGTTGCAAAATCAGAGTCCAAGCTCAGCCTCGGTTACTGAGTCTAAATCCATTGGCAGCCTCGGTACTCGAGTTAGAGTCCGGGTTATACCCTCGGCTGCTCTGGCAAATGGGTACAGTGATGGTCCGCCCGGCTGAAAATCCCATGTTCGTCTCCTGTCACCTATTGGGTAACTCGGAGAGGATATTCGCCAGGTTCGAAGGGTCGATAGATGCAGCCTCGGTACTCGAGGTAAAGTCCCGATGTACCCTCGGCTGTGCCGGCAGATCGTGGTTACGCGATGTGCTAGGTGTTCTGTCCGGTCAAAAATCCCAAGTCCCTCTCTGGTTACCTATTGGGTAACACGTGAAGGGTGGGTTCCGGACTTTGAAGGTTAAAGTCCGAGGGTCCAAGGGTCGGTTGGCCTCGGTTGATTGATAGTTGACAGTCTGATGGTCGCTTCCTCCCGGTAAAACCCTTATTAACGGTGCAGGTCGCCTATTGGGCAACTCTACCGAGGGTCTCACCGGTAAGATGAAGTTGCTACCCGGGGCAGCCTCCGTGTCCGGGGTAGCCTCGGTGGTAAGGTAGTCAGCATCCGCTAAGGCTGGTCCCAAGGCATTCTGCCCGGGCAAAACCCTTTTTAACGTCTCCCGTCGCCTATTGGGTAACTTGGAGAGGGTCAGTGCCTCTGGACAGGGTCCGAGCAGGTATCCGAGGGTCAGTTAGCCTCGGTGTCCGGGGTCAGTTGGCCTCTGGACAGGGTCCAAACCTCGGTAACGAGACTGGCCCAACATGCTCTGGTGGGAGTCCGCTTGATGCTAGAGATGTCCACCGGGTGACTAGCAAGAATTATGCAGACAGAGGTTCCTCGGCGGCTGTATAAGACCTAGTTGGGTCTAAGCCACGAGGTAGACACTCTAAGTTTTAAAGACGGAATCCATGATGGTCCGTTCCTCGGCTGATCCCGAGGAACTTCATCCGTTCCGGTGTGGAATGGAGGCCTATTGGGCCTCAAAGGGCATCCTTGGTGAGGTAGAGATCGTGGTTACACGCGATCTGCGGTGGCTTGCATCCTCCGAGAGTCCTTCTGCCGGTTGGGTGCGAGCAGGAATACCCGGCAGATCATGCTGGGAACTCCTGGTCAACCTCCTTACGTGCGAAGGGTCCGATGATCAGGCTGTCACCTGGGCTTCATCGGTATAGGGCTTGTTGCTTCCTATGCCAACAGGGTCCGGGCTGGTAGGATCCGAGGGTAAGAGCCTATTGGGCTCTATAGTCCGAGTTACGGAACAGGTCAGCCGGGATTCCCCTGTCGGAGGGACCTGAGCAAGGACAACTGTGTGTTGCGCAGTTGTGCTTGTCCAGTCGCTATTCGTACGATTCGTCCCGATGTGACGTTCCACTTTATCCGGGGCTCAGCCTCCAGGATCCTTCTGCCGGAGGGGCTGACGAGAGATGAATTGTGTAGTCACAGTTCACCGCTAGCCAGCCGCTATTCGTGCGATTTATCCCGGTGAACTGGGGTTTCCTTCAGGTTCGACCCTTCTAGTCCGAGGGTCGGAGGGTTGGAGGGTTGGAGGGTTGGAGGGTTGGACGTCGGGGTATCCCTATTGGGGTCTACTCCCTAAGTCAATGGTGGGTCGGGCTTCTGCCACGGCCTATGATGTTCCCTTTTTAGCTCCGTGGATAGCAGGTCGGCGGAGTCGCTGATCCAGCTGGAGCCAGCTAACCGTCGGGGGTCGGCTAACCCTTTAGTTCGGTTGAATCCCCTCGCTGCTTGGCTCGGTTCGCCTCCTGTCATTGTCGCCGGAGACCAGAACATTCTGTCCGGTTCATCCAGGGGAGACCAGGGGAGACGTCCGGTACGGTCCAGGTTGAACTCGTACTTATCGGGTCTATCCGAGGGATCCATCCAAGGTTCGATTCCGGGCTCTTCCGCCGGAGTGGGTTATCGGTGCAATGCGGCTGATGATGCTGCATTGCGCCGACAAACCGCCTTTCGTACGAAGGTCCGGACTAACGTGGTTTAGGGGCTTCTCTTCCAAAAC